TCTCCACACTGGAAGCAGACCCCTACCTTAACAAATAGTTTAAAAGTTAAGTAATTGCCTGGGAACATGAGCAAACTGCACAAAAAAAGTCAGACTATAGAATCTTTCTTTGGTGACAAAGAAGATCAAAACATACAACCAGAAGAAGAAAACAAAGTCAAAGCTCCTACATCCAAAGCCTCCAAGAAAAATATGAATTGATCGTAGGCCACGGAAGAGGTCAAAAAGGATTTTGAGAAGCAAGTAAGAGAAGTAGAGGAAAAACTGGGAAGAGAAATGAGAGTGATGCAAGAAAATCATGAAAACAAGTCAATAGCTTGCTAAAGGAGACCCAAAAAATACTGAAGAAAATAACACCTTAAAAAATAGACTAACCCAAATGAAAAAAGAAGTCCAAAAAGCCACAGAATTGGCCAAATGGAAAAGGAAGTTGAAAAGCTCACTGAGGAAAATATTTGCTTAAAAATTAGAATGGCGCAAATGGAAACTAATGACTTTATGAGAAATCAAGACATTGTAAAACAAAACCAAAAGAATGAAAAAATACAAAACAATGGGAAATATCTCATTGGGAAAACAACTGACCTGGAAAATAAATCCAGGAGAGATAATTTAAAAATTATTGGACTATCTGAAAGCCATGATCAAAAAGAGAGCCTAGACATAATCTTTCAAGAAATTGTCAAGGAAAACTGGCCTGATATTCTCATACCAGAGGGCAAAATAGAAATGGAAAGAATCTACCAATCACCTCCTGACAGAGATCCAAAAAGGAAAACTCCTAGGAATATTGTAGCCAAATTCCAGCATTCCCAGGTCAAGGAGAAAATATTGCAAGCAGCTAGAAAGAACAAATCAAGTATTGTGGAAACACAATAAAGATAACCCAAGATTTAGCAGCTTCTACATTAAAGGACCACAGGGCTTGGAAGATAATATTCTGGAGGGCAAAGGTGATAGGATTACAACCAAGTATCACATACCCAGCAAAACTAAGCATAATCCTTCAGGGCAAAAAAATGGATATTCAGTGAAATAGAGGACTTTCAAGCATTCTTGATGAAAAGACCAGAGCTGAACAGCAAGTTTGACTTTCAGATACAAGAATCAAGAGAAACATGAAGAGGTAAACAGGAAAGAGAAATCATAAGACACTTATTAAGGTTGAGCTGTTTATGTTCCTACATGGAAAGATAATATTTGTAACTCATGAGACCTTTGTCAGTATTAGGGTAGTTGGAGGGGAAAAATTAGATAGATAGATAGATAGGTAGATAGATAGACAGATAGATAGATAGATAGATAGATAGATAGATAGATAGATAGATAGATAGTAGGCACAGGGTGAGTTGAAGATGAAGGGGTGATATCTGGAGAATAAAATTAAGGGATGAGAGAGGATTGTACTGGCAGAAGGAGAAAGGGAGAGATAGAATGGGGTAAATTATCTCACATAAAATAGACAAGAAAAGGCTTTTACAGTCGAGGGGAGGTGGGGGAAAGTAAGTGGGAATGAGTGAATCTTATTCTCATGAGATTTGGCTTAAGTAGGGAATAACATACACACTCAATTGGGTATGGAAATCTATTTTACCTTACTAGAGGATAGGGGGGAAGAGGATAAAAGAGCAGGAGGATGGGAGAGGGTCAATCAGAAGTAAGCACTTCTGAGGAGGGATGGGGTGAAAGTGAGAATAGAATAAATGGGGTGTGGGAAAGGGTTAAGGGAAATGTGGTTAGTTTTTCACATGACCATTATGAAAATGTTTTTCATGACTATACATGTATAACCTATATCAAGCTGCTTGCCTTCTCAATGAGGATGGGTGGGGAGGGAGGAAGGGAGAAAATTTGGAACCCAAAGTTTTAAAAACAAATGTTAAAAATTGTTTTCACATGCAACTAGGAAATAAGATATACAGGCAATGGAATATAGAAATCTATCTTGCCCTACAGGAAAATAGAAGGGGAAGGCAATAAGAGGAGTGATGGAAAGGAGTGTAGATTAGGGGAAGGGGTGCTTAGAATGCACACCATCTTGGGGTGGGGGGAGGGCCGAGATGGGGGAAAAATTTGAAACTCAAGATCTTGTGGAAGTGAATGTTGAAAACTGAAAAAAATTAATTAATTAAAAAAGAAAAAGAAAGAAAAAAAATGAGGAAACAGCAGAAAAAGATCCGAATTATGGATAGTTACTATGGTGACAGGGAAGATCAAAACAAGCCCAGGAAAAGGCAACAAAGTGAAAATTGCTACATTCAAAGCCACAGAGAAAAATATGAATTGGTCTCAGGCCATGGAAGTGCTCAAAAAGGATTTTAAAAATCAAGTAAGAGAGGTAGAGGGAAAATTGGAAAGGGAAATGAGAGTGATACAAGAAAATAATGAAAAAAGAGTCAATAGCTTGGTAAAAGAGGCACAAAAATACTGAAGAAAGTAATACATTATAGAATAGGCCAAATAGTGAAAGAGGCACAGACATTTGATGAAGAGAAGAATACCTTGAACAGTACAACTGGCAAATTGGAAAAAAAAAAGGCAGAAAATCTCACTGAAGAAGATCATTCCTTAAAAATCAGAATTGGGCAAGTGGTAAATAATGACTATCAGACATCAAGAAACAATAAAATAAAAAGAATGAAGAAATAGAAAAAATGTGAAAGATATCATTGGAAAAATAACTAATCTGGACAATAAATCCAGGAGAGATAATTTAAGAATTATTAGACTACCTGAAAGCCATGATAAAAAAACCTAGCCATCATCTTTTAAGAAATTGTCAAGGAAAACTGCTTGGATATTCTAGAAACAGAGGGCAAAATAGAAATGGAAACAATCCTCTCATCATACTGAAACAGATCCCAAAATGAAAAGTAACAGGAATGTTATAGGCAAATTTTAGAGCTCCCAGGTCAACAAGAAAATATTGCAAGCAGCCAAAAGAAAAAAAAAATTCAAATATAGTAGAGTCTTAGGATAACACAAGATTTAGCAGTTTTTACATTAAAGCATCAGAGGGTTAGGAATATGATATTTTGGAGGGCAAAAGGGCTGGGATTACAAACAAGAATCATCTACCCAGCAAAACTGAATGTAATGCTTCAGGTGAAAAATAGACAGTCAATGAAACACAGGACTTTCAAGCATTCCTGATGAAAATACCAGAGCTGAATAGAAATTTTGATTTTTAAATACAAGACTGAAGAGAAATATAAAATGGTAAACAGGAAAGATAAATCATAAAGTTAAGCTGTTTACATTGCCACATGTGAAAATAATATTTGTAACTCCTAAAAATGTCATTATTAGGGCAGTTAGAAGGAGTATACATTGAAAATCGGCACAGGTGTCAGTTGAGTATGATGGGATGGTTATCTAGAAAAATAAAAATAAGAAGCGAGAAAGAGGAATGCACCGGGAGAAGGGGAAATGGAGAGATAGAATGGGATAAATTATCTCAGAAGAGAAAAGAAAAAGCTTTTACAGTGAAGAGGAAGATGGAGAGATTGTGAACCTTACTTTCATTGGAATTGGCTCAAAGAAGGAATAATATATTCACTCAGTTGGGCATAGAAGTCTCTTATCCTATAGGAGAGTAGGAGGGGAAGTGGGGAGTGAAGGTAGGGTAGCTCTTTATTGATGGCAAAGAACTGGCAATTGAGGGGATGTCCATTAGTTGGGAAATGACTGAACAAGTTGTTGTATTTGATTGTGATGGAATACTACTGTGCTACAAGAAATTATGAGCAGAATGGTCTCAGAAAAACCTGGAAAGATTTAAGTGAACTGATGAATAGTGAAATGAGCAGAAGCAGACAAACATTTTATATAGTTAACAGCAATATTATGTGATGATTAACTGTAAATGACTTGACTATTCTTAGCAATACAGTAATCCAAGACGATCCTTAAGGACTTATGATGAAAAATGCTATCCATCTCCAGAGAAAGAACTAAGGGAGTCTGAATGTAGATCAAAGCATACTTTTACTTTTTTTTTTGTCTGCGTTTTCTTTCACAACATGACTAACATGGAAATATGTTTTGCATGACTATACATGTTTAACCTATGTAAATTGTTTTCCTTCAGGGTGGCAGCTAAATGGCACAGTAGATAGACAACTGGCCCTGGATTCAGGAAGACTTGGGTTCAAATGTGACCTCAGACACTTGACACTTACTAGCTGTGTGACCCTGGGCAAGTCACTTCACCCCATTGCCTCACAAAAAAATAAATAAATAAGTTGTTTTACTTCTCAATGGGGGGAGGGAGGAGGAGGAGAGAGAATTTGGAAATTAAAAACTTTTAAAAATGAATTTTAAAATTTTGTCCATGTAATTTGGAAAAATAAAATGTTAAAAGAAATCAAAACATATGTATTACCCCTACCCCCAAGTACTTAAATGTCTTCAAGATTTAAAAGTCATTAGACACATAATCCAAGTTTCTTCTGTGATAATTCATTCCTATTTGAATTCTCAGGAGTGGGCAACAATCAGTAGGTTTGATGAAACTTGTCAGATTCTCTGTCATATCTCTTATACACATTTCAGGGAGATAGCTTGCTTGGTAATTAATGATGTCTATTCTACATCTATATACAGCTGTTCCCCTTCACTTCATCAAGGAATCACCAAGCACCAGTACATATTATTTCTTCCTGAGTTCAATAGTACGATTCTTTATACTTGCTAGTGGTAACGAAATCTCATTTTCTGTTCTAAGTTGAATGGGATTCTTGTTTCTTTAAAAGCACAGATTATAACAACAACAACAACAAAACTGCAAACACTTCAATACCTTTTGTGTTCCTATGATAGCACACACACTTTTTTCTCTTTCTTTTTTTCTTTTCTGTGTCCATCCCTCCCTTCCCCTGCCCCACACCCCAGCCAAAACTTGTCAGCATCTTGACATTGGTACTGATGTTTCTGTTTCCTTAGATCTCCATTTTTAGCCACATCATCACCATCATTATTATTTATTTTGGTTCTTTTAGGATCACCAAACAATTCTGAGGGCATGGGCAGTTAAAGATTTTGCTCCAAATTGTCCTTTGTATGTCCAGATACTGAAGCCTGAAAACAAATTCCACATCAAATTTGCTGGTAAGTTTAGCATTAACAGATATACTTTTCTTTTATAATTCATTAAAATGTATTTTAATTAGTGGAAACTTTGTAAACTGATGATGGTCTAGACAAAATGACCTATGTTTTCTCTGTCATGTAGTCTTCATTTTTATCATAGTTGTATGCTACTATGGAGTCAAATGATTTTTAGGTTGATTTGCTCATTGTGTGTATATAGTTAATTAATGGCTGGTTGGTGCATCAGAGTAATTTCAACAGCTAAGAGAGGCAATGTAGCATGGTGGACAGAAGGGTGACTTAGATTCAGGAAGAGCTGGATTCAAGTCCTGCTTCTGACACATACTAGCTTTGCTACCATGTACATAAACCCTAAATTCCTCAAACAGATCTCTTAAGACTTAATTATGAATGAGTAGAAAACCTGTATCCGAAGATAGAGTTTACCCACCAGGATTTCTCTACCCTGATAAAATCACAAATATGGAACAATTAAACAAATGAACAGTTAAAAAAAAACCTGAAATAGTTGGACATAACAACCAACCAGAATTGATCCCAGAGTGATACACAGCATATGGTATACATAACCAATTGGGTTGTTAAAGGTTTGATAAATAACCTCGATTACATGGAGTAACTTTTTGTGTAAGTAATGTCTAACAACGTTTATTTGTATATGTTGTTGAAGATGACTTTGAAAACAGCACCAAAAGTGTGATAATGCTTTCTTTTACCTTTCTTTTTAACCTTAGAGCTTAGCACAGTGCTCGGCACATAGTAAGCACTTAATACATATTTATTGAATTGCTGACAATACCATCAGGGCAGGAAATAAAAGGGGGAAATTAACCAGATTGATGAAAGATTATGCTATCATCTGAAAGCACTGGGAATGGTTAGCTTACATGACAACAGATTTGGGGGCTGGGGAAGAGCTTGGGCATAAGAGTCAACTAAAGTCATTTGAAGGGCCCTTGTGTGGAACAGATATTATTAGATTTATTCTGCTTGGACTCCAAATCAATGATCTATAGGTGGTTTAGCAAGATGAATTGCCATTTAAATGTTGATTAAATAATAGCATATATAGACATTCTCCATGTTGTCCTTAACCTGTAGTTCATTCCTGTCCCCTCCAAATAGAATAAGTGAATTAACATATTTTAATTTCATAATTTAAATACTTTCCGCCCAATTGCATTGTACCGAAATTTTGATTTTGTCCTGGTTTGGTCAATAACATTGGTATGAATGAGTCTTTTTTTAAAAAATTGTTTTATTGATAGAATACCTCTCAATATTTCATGTTTATGTCACCTCCTGAAATTCTATTTTATAGACTCACAGTATCTATCTATTTTTATGACTGAGATTACAACTTCTCAATACGGCTGTATTCATATTATGCAGTGATGGAAGCACCCTATGCTCATTAAAATGCCACGAAAAGGGCTTGAGAGTGATGTATAGAATTCTAAACTATTAAAATGGGTTCTGCATTTAAGCATATGGTGAAAAAAAGAATGTGAATTTACTAAGAAAGGCAGTATATTTGTAGTGTCACTTAATGTGCAGTAAATTAAATATCACCTGCTTTTATTTCTAAGTCACATCCATTTGGTAGTATTCATTAAGAATCATTATCTTGCATATTCATGAATCATATACAACAGTAATTCTAATTATGCTACATGGAGAATAAGGATTTACTTTATTTAATTTACTTAAAATGTGTCTTATTTTTATCTTGAATTGTACAAATATTATCTAAGTTCAAATCCTGTCCCTTATATGTACTGGTTGTATGACCCTGGGCAAATCACTTAACCACACTCATCCTTAGTTTACTTATCTATAAAAGGGAGAGAAGAAACAGTCATACTGCTTCAAAAGACTGTTGTGAAGATAAATGAGATAATATATTTATAACGCTTTGAAGACTCTAAAACAGCATATAAACCTGCAGTGCTGTTATTACTTCTAAGAAATGTGTGCTATTCCAGGTAGATATAAATTCCTCCTACATGTATGCAATGTTCAAGCATTGCCTCCATTAACAGAGATGGCATTGTAATTCTGCTATCCATAGATAGTCACTTAAACGTTAGGACTTTTTTTTAGTTCATAAGCTTGCAAGATAACCTATATCTAGAACTGCAAAATTTTTGAAAGGCTGAGGGAAGGAATGAATTTAAAGGGAAGATGGGGAAAAATGTTATGAGTCTTTTAAAACTCCCTTTATAGCTCTATAGTTAGTTTAGAAAGAGCAGAACATATGGGAAGGAGTCAGAGAAGGATTCCCTTTTACAGCATCTCCAACAAATGTTCATTCAGTCTCAGCTTAAATACCTCCACAAATGGGGAGTTCGCAGTTTAAGACAGCCCATTTCACATCAGGATTCAGGCAAGCCAGAATTTATTTCTCTAAAACTTTTATTCATTTGTCTTAGTTCTGTCCCCTGGGGCTAATAATAATAATAATAATGACAATATACTGGAAAGTGTAATATGTTAGAAAGTATCCTAATCAAAAACAAGGCCAAACAATACTGTATAATATTAATAAAGTGGGGATTGATGCAGTAGTTAAAAAGGTTTTAAAATATACAGACTAAAGAGCTTTCTAAGTATAGAAACCTAGCAGTAGAAATCAAAGCCATGTGGGAATAAGGAGGAGAACATATTACCCTCATTATCCTGTCTGCTATTAGAGTTGTACAGGTGGCTAGGTGAATCAGTAGATAGAATGCTGGACCTGGACCAGGAATACCTGAGTTCAAATCTAGCTTCGTGGCAGTGGGCAAGTCATTGAGCTACTATCTGTCTCACCTTCTTTGTTTGTAAAATGGGGATAATAATAGCATCTACCTTCCCAGGTTGTTGTGTAGATCAAATGGTATAATATTCATAAAGAACTTTGTGAATCTAAAAGTGCTAATGATTATTATAATAAAGCAGGATTATAATTTAAAGAAATTTTCGACATTGTATGTTTCTGTTAATTCAATCTAAGTTACCTAATCTTTTATTTTAGTGGCTATGCCACGCTACTGATTTGCTGAGCTTGCAGTTCACTAAAGCCTCCAAATCTATTCCAGATAAGATATTGACTAGCCATATCTCTTCTACCAAGCAATCAATTTTATTAAGCGCCTACTATGTGCCATATATTGTGTTAAGTGCTGAGGATACAAAAAGAGGCAAAAGACAGTCCCTGCCCTCCAGGAGTTTTCAAAGTAAGGGGGAGAAGAGTCAACAGGCAAACAAATATGTACAAATCATGCTACATACAGGATAAATAGGAAATTATCAAGAGAGGGAAAATGCTGAAATTAAGAAGTATTAGGAAAGGCTGCCTGTAGAAGGTGGGATTTTACTTGGGACCTAAAGGAAGCCAGGGAAGTCAGTAGTTGGAGTGGAGAAGGAAGAGAGTTCCAGATATGGGAAACAAATAGAGAAAATTCCCAGAGGCAAGAGATGGAGGTCAGTATCACTGGATTGAAGAGCATGTGTAGGGGAGTAAAGTATATGCAGATTGGAAAGATAGGAGCTTTGAATGCCGAACAGAGAACTTTGTATTTGCTTCTGGAGGCAATAGTAAGCCACTGGAATTATTATTGAGTAGTGAGGGTGACATGATCAGACCAGCATTTTAGGAAAATCACTTTAGTGGCTGAATGGAGGATGGATTGGAGCGGCAGACAGACCCACCCACAGGATATTACAGTAGTTCAGGTATGAGGTGATGAGGGCCTGAACTAAAGGACTGGTAGTGTTAGAGGACAGAAGAGGAATTATTTGAGAGATGTTGTAAAGGTGAAATTGACAGGCCTTGGCAACAGCTTAGATGGAGGGTGTGAGAAATAGTAATATCTATTTTATCCTGTACTTCTGAAGTTGACTTCTTTTTGAGTCCAAGTATAAGACTTTAGATCAAATTCTTTTGATTTAGTTTTGTTTGGTTTATACTATGATTTCAGCTACCAAGATCTCTTTGAGTCCTATTTCTGCAATTCATTATATGATTTGGGAGAAATAGCATAATGTATAGAGAAATGACCTCAAAGCAGGAAGATCTGGGTTCATGATAGATAGATAGATGAGATTTTTTAATTGCTAACAGTGTGTTAGGTACTGTGCTGAATACTGGGAATATAGATATAAATAGTCTGTCCACATACTGGTGGGGTAAGGCAGTGGATGGCAATACATCAAAAACGAGTTGAACAGGGAAAATATGGGATGGGAGAGAAATAGACTGGATGAACTAATCCTAGTTTGAAGAGAACATGGCTAGCTTAGGTGCTTCCTCAAATGGAGGTTCAAGAAGGAACTCATCAATCAGAGGAAAAGGCCATTGGGGTGGAGGTGCTGCCAATGTGAGAAGAAGGCTGATGGGTGCTGGAGTGGAAGTAGGGGGTTGGTCAGGAAAGTCATGAGTTGTTCTGACTTTGAAATCTCCTGGTTGTGTGACTGGGAAAAAATCACTTAATCTCTCAATCTGCTCGCAAGGCATTTTATAAGACATTTTATATGTAATTTTTTTTTGATAAGGACCGCCCTGTTTTTTTGCCTTTCTTTATAATTTAGCTTAGGCTCTGACACAAAGTAAATTGCTTCTGACACAAAGTAAATTGCTTCTTTCTCAGAATGTTTGTATATGATAAAATAAAGTGCATTATATTAAAGAGGAAACCAATTACATTGAAATACATTTATCAAATTAAGTTTAAAAAATTCACTGATCCTTTTCCCAAAATTAAGAATCCCTACTCTAAGTTACAAAGAAAAAAATTTATTTGCATTGGCAGATGAAGTTCCTTACCAGTAATATTTTACACTCATAAAATTACAGACCTAGTAAGAGCAAAAACAAACAAAAAACTATGACTAATCTATCAATCAAGAATTATTAGGACTTAGTATGTTTGAGGCACTGTGGTAAGTCCTGGAGATACAAAGACAAAAGCAAACCAGTCTTACACTTTAAGGATATTACATTCTAATGATGACAG